GTTTTTACATTTTTTTATGTTGTTTTGCTTTGTTTTGTTTTTTTTGAATGTCCATAGGACCAGATTTAACTTTTTTAGATTTTTCTACCTGGATTATTGAGCATGCATCAGGATGTCGGAGGTCTAGTTCACTACATATGTCATAACACCAAAGCTGTTTTCCTTTTCGTTTATCTTTGAACGATTGCCTCAGGCTAACCTTTTCATTAGTTGCATAGGATGTGAAAACGGAACAGATGAATTCAGCCTGTCTGAATGAAAAACTCGTTTTTTTGAGAAAGGTTTTTTTATATTCACTTTAAAAACCCTGTTCATCTCAGCAGACACACACCCTTCAAAATGTCTCTGCTGCTGGCGCTAGAACCTGCTCTGTTCTCATCAGCCGCCAGGTGTCGGAGCAGGGCGAGAAAATGCTCGGGGTAGGGTCACGTGACTCTGCACCTGTTCCAGGGTGTTGACTGAGGACTGCAGTTGGTTCAGGACCAACTGAAAATGAGGTCCGAAGAGTACATCTGAGGACACAGGACCTTCCAGGTGTTCTTTTTTAATGTCTTCTGGGTTGGACGGAGACAGTTTCAACCACATCTGTCTCTGCAGCAACGTTGCCTAGGACAAGATGCGGGCGAAGCACGCTGCAAGCGTCGCACACATGTTGGTGATTGTGTCTGCAGCCGTGTTGATCTGGTTCAAATCTGTGGAGGATGGGCTTGGTTCCTTTGTCTCTTTAGCTATGCTAAGGGCTAGCATAGTGATGTTGTTGGTTGCTGCTCCCACCTGCGACAAGCACTGATGGATTCTGTCTGTCAGCTTCGCGGTGAGCTGGTCACCGGAGGATGGCGGGGTGATACGTCGGCCAACGTATTTCACTCCTCTCACTCCAAAAACAGCCGACAAACTGGGTTCTGGAGAGGGATGGTGGGAAAACCCTGGTCCGTGAGCCCTTTGACTTTGGTGACGGCCGCGTAGGAGGCGATCAGAGCCCTCAGCTTTAAGGGATCGTTGGCTGAACCCAGGAGGAGGGCGGACACAGCCAGGAAACAGGGCCAGACCAGGTCCCAGTGTCTAATGTGCTGGGCGGCGAATCTTCCAGCCAGAAGGGTCGACGTGGCCGCCGGTTCGGGCACTCCCAGGTCGCAGGCTCTCGCCAACCTCCCGATTATCTTAACTGTTTTGTCTTATGTAAACTCCTCCGTGAATCACCACCTTATTGTGGTGGAGTAATTTGTGCACCTGAACATAAAACAGCATGGAACTCAGTGTCCCTTGCCTGGACGTGGGTTACTGAGGCCCCACCCTGGAGCCAGACCTGAGGGAGGGGCTTGTCGGAAGTGCCTGGTGACTGGGTGTCAACCCGTGGGGCCCAGTCGGGCTCAACCCGAATGAGCAACATGGGTTTGCCTTTCAGTGTGTGACCTCTCTGGCAGGGAAGGAGCCTGAGATTGTGCATCAGGTTGAGAGGTACCCACTAGATATATTTGGGGTCACCTCGATGCACAACATGGGCTATGGAACCACTCTTCTTGAGAGGGGCTGGACCTTATTCCACACTGAAGTTGCCCATGGAGAGAGGCGTTGAGCTAGTGTGGGTCTACTCTTAGCCCACCCAACTTGGTGCCTGTATTGGAGTTTTCCCTGGTAGATGAGAGGGTAGCTTCCTTGCTCCTTTGGGTGGGAGGATGGGCTTTGACTGTTGTTTGTACTTATGCGCCAAACAGAAGTCCATAGTATCTGGCCTTCTTGGAGTCCTTGGCAGGGGTGATGGAAGGTACACCAGCTGGGGACTCCTTTATTCTGCTGGGGGACTTCAATGCCTACATGAGTAAAGACAGTGTGACCTTGAGGGGTGTGACTGGGAGGAACAGCGTCTCTGATCTGAATTCAAGCCATGTTCTGTTGTTGGACTTCTGTAGTCATAGTTTCATAGTTCGTCCATCACAAACACCATGTTCGAACATAAGGTTGTCCATAGGTGCACTTGGCACCAGGCCACCCTAGGTAGTAGATCTATGATTGACTTCATAGTTGTGTCATCTGATTTTCAGCTGTTTGTTTTGGACACTCACTTGAAAAGAGGAGCTAAGCTGTCAACCGATCACGACCGGGTAGTGAATTGGATCAGATTGCGGGGGAAGATGCCAGACAGACTCGGTAGACCCAAACGTGTAGTGAGGGTTTGCTGGGAATGCCTGCAGAAGAACCCATCAGAAAGATCTTCAACTCACACATCCAGCAGACCTTTAACCACATCCCAGGTAAGGCGGGAAACAGTGAGTCTGAGTGGGTCATGTTCCGAGACTCAATTGTTGAAGTGGCTGCCTTGAGCTATGGCCGCAAGGTTGTCGGTGCTTCTCGCGGTGGCCATCCTCAAACTCGGTGATGGTCACCCCTGATTAGGGAGGCTGTCAAGCTGAAGGAGGAGGTTTATTAGTCCTTGTTGGCTGGTGGGACTCTGGAGGCAGCTGAGGAATACTGGACGGTCAAGCAGCCTGCAGCCTTGGCTGTTGATGAGGCAAAATCTTGGCTGTGGGAGGAGTAAGGTGAGACCCTGGATAACAACTCTCAGTTGGTTCCGTGGAGATTCTGGAAAACAATCAGGTGGCTCCTACTGACATCAACCAGTGATGTCGACAGGAGGTGGAAGGAATACTTCTCAGATTTTCTCAATCCCACTGGCATGTCTTCCATGGAGGAAGCAAAGCTGGGGGACTTCAGGTTTCATCTGTCCATAACAGTGGCTGAGATCGCTGATGTAGTTAAAAAGCTCTGCCACAGCAGGGCTCTGAGGGTGGATGAAATTCACCCTGATTTCCTTAAACTCTGGATGTTTGTGAGGCGGTCTTGGTTGACACGCCTTTGCAACATTGCATGGATATCGGGGGCAATGCCACTGGATAAACAGACTGGGGTGGTGGTTCCCCTCTTCAAAAATGGGGACCGGAAAGTGTGTTCCAATTACAGGGGTATGACTCTCCTTAGCCTCCTTGGTAAGGTCTATTCAGGGGTACTGGAGAAGCGAGTCAGATTGTTGGTCGAACCTCAGATCCAGGAGGAACAATGCGGGTTCCGTCCTGCCTGTGGAACACTGGACCAGCTCTTTACTCTCACTAGAGTCCTCAAGGGGTCATGGGGGTTTGCCCATCCAGTCTACATGTGTTTTGTGGACTTGGAGAAGGCATTTGACTGTGTTCCTCTGAATAAACTGTGAGGGGTGCTCCGTGAATATGGGATTGGGGGCCCGTTGTTAGGGGCTGTTCGGTCCCTATACAACAGTGTGAGAGTTTGGTTCGCATTGCTGGTAGTAAGTCAGACCTCTTCAGGGTGGGAGTTAGTCTCTGCCAGGGCTGCCCATTGTCACAGATTTTGTTCAAAACTTTTATGTACAGAATTTCTTGGTGCATTCAGGGGGCAGAGGGATTCAGGTTCAATGGCCTCAGGATTCCATCTCTGCTCTTTGCAGATGATGTGGTCCTGTTGGCGTCATCGTGCCATGATCTTCAGCTCTCACTAGGAGTGGTTCGCAGCAGAGTGTGAAGTGGCTGGAATGAGAATCAGCACCTCCAAATCTGAGACCATGGTCCTGAACCGGAAAAGGGTGAATTGCTCTGTTCAAGTTGAGGATGAGGCTCTGCCTCAAGTGGAGGAGTTCAAGTATCTTAGGGTTTTGATCACGAATGAAGAAATAATGGAGCGTGAGATTGGCAGATAGATTGGTGTAGCATCTGTATTATCACAGACTCTATACCAGTCTTTTGTGGTGAAGAGGGAGCTGAACTGTAAGACAAATCTACTGTAAGACAAATTGGTCTACGTTCCTACCCTCAGCTATGGTCACGAGCTCTGGGTAGTGACCGAAAGAATGAGATTGCGGATACAGGCAGTTGAAATGAGTTTCCTCCGCAGGGTAGCTGGTCTCTCCCTTAGAGATAGGGTGAGGAAAAAAAAAAAGAATGAGATTGCGGACACAGGCGGTTGAAATGAGTTTCTTCCACAGGGTAGGTGGACTCTCCCTTAGAGAGGGTGAGAAGTTCAGTTATCTGGGAGAGACTCGCAGTAGAACCACTGCTCTTCCACATTGAGAGGAGCCAGTTGAGGTGGTTCGGGCATCTGATAAGGATGCCCCCTGGACACCTCCCTAGGGAGGTGCTTTGGGCATGTCCAACTGGGAGGAGACCCCGGGGGATACCCAGGACACGGTAGAGAGACTATGTCTCTTGGTTGGCCTGGGAACGCCTCGGAATCTTCCCAGAAGAGCTGGAAGAGGTGGCTGTAGAAAGAGATGTCTGGACCTTCCTGCTCAAGCTGCTGCTCCCGAGACCTGACTTTGGAACAAATGGAAGATAATGGATGGATGGTCTTATGCCAAATTTTTACTGCAACAGTTATCTGTAAGGGATTAATAAAATTCTTATTCCATTCCATTCTATTCTATTCATTTTTCTGTGACACTAAGAAATGTTGACGTCATACTTAATTCTTCTCAGGTGTAATTAAAATATGTTGCAAGTCTAATGTCAAGTTATTAAACATAGCTTCTATTTTAAAACTTTTAAAAACAAATGCTAAATATTTTTACTAACAATCTTGTTACTGTTTATCTTTTTTCACTTTGGCTTAGTCATGTAGTGAACTAAGCCTCAGGTCAAATCTGGCCCTGAGGGCCTTCCTGGGACAAGAACTGTTACTTCATTGATTTGAGTCCAGAAACACAAAATTAAGTTCATCCAGAGACTTTCTAAGTGTGTCCTGCACTGATCAATTGAAAGAACACTCTTTTTTTATTATCATTACTATTTTACAAATGTCTTGATAATCAAAAGTGTGTTAAGTTCAAACCATTTTAAATGTTGAAGTGAACTACTCATTTTAAATCA